CACTACCCCCGGGGTTTACACAGACGAGCCGGCGAAGCAAGAAGAGCGCCAGAAGAAAGGGCCCTAGCCGGCGGGGCCCAGCCAGGACAAAAGGAGGTTCCACAAAGCGCCTACACCGGCCGCAATTGCGGTCGGGGTAGACGACGGATGGGGCCCACCTACGAAGGCTGTCCAGGCCTACACGAGATGAGGCAGGATAAAGAGGGATAATTCCCCTCGATCCCAAATCATTGAGGCCAATTTCTAGCCATAGAATAATGGCGCGGTTTATGATCTTATATTTTGGTCAATTTTCTTTAAAAATTAAAGTTAATTTGATCAAAGCTGCACTTATAAATACATGTCGAACTTTATACTATAGAAATATACGAAATAGTCATATGAAAAGTGTGAACGTGCGAATTTACAACCAGGCCTTATTTCTCGTGATTAGATCGTAGTTTCGAAAACTCCTTTCAATTTTCTAGAATCGTAGATATTCTGTTCTTATGCTCCTACATCTACGGGTAGTTCATGTGACATGTAAGGATTGTAAGGTTATGATCATTATCTATGGTTATGATTATTTACTTACGAAGGAAAGTTTAAATAGGAATGTTTATTAGTTTGAAAATATAAATAAGAGAATTCTCTATTCCCTAGTGAAGAAGAAGATATTGGAAAATCCTTTTATTGCCATATATTATCAAGATAAATTGTTTAAATGGAGAATTTTGAGGAACAACATTGTAGGCTATGCCTCAATGTTTTAAGCGACGAACAATTTGAAGAGATAGAAGAAGCTACCAGAAATATTTTTGGCTTTCTATTATTAAATCTGGTACGTTCATTAAGGGGTTTAGCCAATAAGTGTTACTGATTATATTAATCCAATTTTCAGGATTTTGACAACTCGAATAAACACATAATATGTAACGATTGTTCACTACAGGTAAGAGAAGCATACGAATTTAAGTCGATGTGCCTCTATACTGACAATACTATAATTACTCATGTCGATTATGAAACGGAACGTTCTGTTGACTTAAGAGAGATTTACGTAAAGGAAACAGAAAACAAGCAACTCGTGAATAAATTAAATGATGATCATAAAGTTTGTCGGTTATGTATGCAGTTAACAAGCAGTGAATTTATGTCGATACATAAATTAGAGGTTGATATGATTGAGAAATATATTCCAGAAATAGTAAGTATATAGCGACATACAGCAATATACAAAAGCATGTTGCATTTTTTAGCAATTCAATAACTATAAAAAAAACTAAGGTTGTCCAACCTTATAATGTACTTTGTAGAATTTCAGTGTCGTCAAAGATCCCATTATTTGCAAACGGTGCTTTGTTTCCTTCTGTACCCACAGTGGTTTCATAGAGAAATGCTTAAAAACAAAGGAAAACGTTAAGAGTTTTCATGGTACAAAAGTCACTGCCAGTTTGGGCTGGACTCCATCCTTTGCTTCTCCCGTTAGTGTTGAAGAGATCAAAATAAAATCCGAATTAAATGAACGGGAAGATCAATTTATCGAAATGGGATCTACTGCACTGAAATTTGAAGAAGAGAAGTTGATTAAATCTGAGCCTCTGGATATAAAAGCAGAAGAAAATGATAAAGAGAGGTATGTAACTCAAAATTCTTCTGATAGCGATACGAAGGACTGCAGCGCGCTCAGCATATTTCAGAATAATGTAAATCAATTTTAAATAAATTGTTGAAATGAGATAAAATTTACATCGCACTTAACCTTTTCAGTGTGGTATGTAGTAAAAGTAGTATAAGTATCCCTTATCACATAATTGGCGTAAACTTTTAGAAAATAAATATGTTTTTTTCTCCACTTTTGAAAGAACGATATTATTTTTGGGGCAATAGCCTCCTCAGAGATTCTAATGCATCTATTTCCATGTTTGGAGGAAGTTCTTTTTCAAATTTGTTTTTGCAAATTTCTACTTTGTGCAGAGCAGACAAGGCAATACATAGCAGGACCTACAGAGCAAAATGATAACAAATAAATTATTTTAGCAATTGTTGATTGTCAATTTGTATTTTTGACCTAGGATTTGTAATCAGCTACCCAAAAACCCCAGAGTATACATTGTCAGGAGAAAATTTCTCAAACCCTCAAATAATAGATTTAACTTTAACATCGTGTATATCAAAAATGAGAGCTTCAAAGGCAGATGTTTGTATAAAAAGACATTCTTAAATTTGGAGAAAACATTTTATATCTTATATGTTGTAGTGTTACAGTCCACATTTCGTCGAAAAACGCTAATTTAAAAAATGTATAGGAAATGAAAAAAAATTCTTTCTGATTTTCTTTAAGCTTTCATAATTTTTTAAGCACAAACAGTAGACAAAAGTAAACTTTTCAAAAATCGATTAAAAAAATCTTTTTGTATGAGGAAAATCAAAGGAATCTTTACTAAAAAATAAACATTTTTCAGTTACATATTTCCGGATATTTCACCCCATGAACTAGAAGAGACAGAGGAGCTTTCCGAAGTAGACAAGAGTATAAACCAATTTGAACGTGATCAGATACCCAAAATATACATTTGTGATAAATGTAATTTTCAAAGCAAAAACAGAAAAAGTTTCATAGGTCACCAAATAGTACACAAGGATCCCTCGGCCGTGCAATTGTACAAATGCGATTTGTGTGATTTTGAGTCCAAATATAACGGGTCTTTTAAGCGTCACCTGGCGAAACATGCTAACGGCACTACATTTTCAGAAGCACCGATACTCGGGTGTGATTCGTGCGATTACAAAACCAAATATAAAAACAGACTCAAGTGCCACCAATTGACACACATGAATCCCTCAGAAGTGCGGTTGCATATGTGCGATCTGTGTGATTTTAAGTCGAAATATAAGGAAAGCATAAGACTCCATCAGTTGAAACACGCTGATCCCACAAAAGTACAGATGTACTCTTGTGAGTCGTGTGATTTTAAAACTAAATATAAAGGCAGTCTTAAGCTTCACCAGTTGAAACACGCCGATCCCTCAAAAGTGGATATGTACTCATGTGATCTGTGTGAGTTTAAGGCGAAATACATGAACAAACTTAAGCTGCACAAAGCGAAACACATGGAACTTTCGCAGGCGCGGACATACAATTGCAATGAATGTAATTTTAAGTTCAAATATGAAGAGTCCTTTAGGCAGCACCAGTTGAAACACGCCAATCGTCCGCAAATACTGACGTACGAGTGTGACTTGTGCGTATTCGCGACCAAAAGAAAGAGCGGTCTTATTTCCCATAAGTTGCAACACGCTGACCCCTCACAGATACAAATATACAAGTGTGACGTATGTGACTTTCAAACTAAGTATAAGAACAAACTTAAACCCCACCAGGCGACACACGCGGATCCATCGAAACCACAGTTGTACACATGTGATTTGTGTAATTTTAAGTCCGAACGTAAGAGCAGTCTTCATTTCCACCAAATGAAACACACGAAACACTCAGAAATGAGAATTCACAAGTGTGATTTGTGCGATTTTGTGGCGAAATATAAATTTGACCTTAAGTACCACAAGTTGAAACATGCCGATCCTTCAGCAGTGCCGGGGTACAAATGTGATTTGTGTGACTTTGTCAGCAAATATGAAAGCGGACTTAGGTATCATCAACTGAGGCATGCAGACACTACAAAGGTGCAGATGCACAAGTGTAATTTGTGCAATTTTGAAACCAAATACCGGAGCAGTCTTAAGTCCCATCTATCAAAACATGCAGATTCTGTTTGATAGACTTCTGGATGAAGAGAAAGTACGAAGTCACAGTTTTCTCACTTAAAAATTGTCAAGCCAATATCTTATATAAGTTTTAACATATTGCAAGAATCTATTTATATCAAGGCCTTCTGAGTTAACTATTTAATTTAGAAATGGGTGATATAACCTACAAAGCATATGTCACATCTCAAATGTCGTTGCATATTAAGGAGACTAACTAATAATAATAATAATACAAGTTCAAAACCGATCTATATGTGTTGTGGTAATTCAATATTAGTGGAGCTCATGGAGCAGTTGCTTCCACCATTATCATTAGTTAGCTATGGTTTTTGTTGAACTTTTATTTCTCTGGGTCAATGTAGGCACTGCATAAAAAAATATTTATTTATTTTGGGTAGAATTGCCCAGACATAAAAATTACAATTATAGTTCAGGAAAACTCATAAATTCACATTGAAATTAGTACCATAATAAAATATTGACTTACAAACAACAATAAAATAGTAACAATAAAGAGATAAAAAGTAGTATAATTATAAATCTAAATTTACTGAATGGTTTCTATAAATTAATCTTTGATAATAATTTTGCGTCTGCTAGTGAAATATATTCATTTTGTTTTTTACTTCTCCAATGAACGATGTTGCCATAGACAGAAGCAGCGTTCACTGGTGCTTGTTCTACCTTCCAGGTTTTTCCCCATGAGGCATCGGTGTATCGGATTAGAAGGTTTTCTTCATGCTGATTAGTCTTAATAAACAATAGTCCAAAGTCGATGGTGCCACTCAGGTATCTTAATATTCGTTTTATTCCTATGAAATGTTCTTTGGTAGGATTAGTCTGAAATCAACCGAGGTAGTTGCCTGCAAAAGTAATGTCGGGTCGACTGATTTGACAGAAATGATAGTGATCCTATCACATTTCTATATTTTGTCATAAGGTATATTGTTACCTTGTAGTCTGGCGGGGCTAATGTTGTGGATCCTGGTACATATGTGTAGCAACTTTCAGTTTCATTTTAATCTTCCATTTTATCGACCTTGGTTTTAAACTTCATCTATTCTTTTCTGATCTGTATCTTCTACCACACTACGTGTATTGTTGTCATTTATATTATTTATTTCCTCCTCTATGGCGTTGTTCTTTCCTTGTTGAACTGCATCATTGAAAGTTAAGTTGCTATTTTCAACGTACCAAGTAAAGAAGTCGTCTTCTACAACCTGACCTATACATCCTTCATCATCAGAACTTTCATTCATGGATATCTGGTAGTCTTTAAGTGTTTCACGTGGTTTTTGTAGCCTTGTTTTTATTTTAATATGGACTCAAATTTAATCTGCTTACTAACCATTAAGAACTCACACAATTGTAAAATGCTAGAAAAAATGATAAGATTGGCACTTAAACGTAAAAAACATTTTTTAAATAATTTATTGAGTAATTTATACTTTCAAAAAATTTTTGGCGGTCCAGTATTTTAGCGTCCAGGTCCGGACCGCGGTCCGCCAGTTGTTGATCCTTGCTCTAGGGGTTTTGCTGCAGTTACTTGTCGGTGTAGTGACAATTATGGCGCGTTATAATAAGAAAAAATATTATACTGATCAAGAACTGGAGGCGATTTTAGCCAATAGTGATGATGAATCCGTTGAAAATATATCAGATGAGTCAGATGGCGGATGGATGGATGAGGATGATACGGCCACACCAGAACCTACGTATGCGGCTCCTGAATCATCAAAGACCACCGATTTTTCTGACCAAGATTCCCATTCCGATATTCCTACTAGCAGTAAAAAAAGAACTAGAGGTAAAGCTAAGAAAGCAACAAGTGATTTTGTTTGGAGTGGAAAAGATTTAAAGCCGGAAATACACAAATTTAAATTTGACAATTCGGGTTGTTCTCCAGAAAGTGGCCTTGATAAAAATAGCAATGAACTAGAATGTTTTCAAAGATTCTTTGGCGAAGACATTGTTCAGTATATTGCTGAACAAACTAACCTATATTTTGCGTCTTTATCTTCTCGGGATATTCCCGATAAATCCCAGACTGCATCGATGGAAGGATACAGATTTCGAAGAAATATACAGCTTTATTGTAAACAACTTACTTATGTCACAAGTCAAGAAACATTCCATTAATTCTTATTGGACCAATAATATTAAGATATCTACACTCATGTTTCACCAAATTATGCCCAGTGACCGGTTTCTTCTTCTCCTTAGTCTTCATTTTGTTGACAACAGGAAGGAGGCGCCCCAAGATGATAAATTATGGAAAAACCGAAAAATTGTTGATCATTTAAAAAAACAAATGGCAGAAACTTTCTATCCCTTCGAAAATCTGTGCGAAAGCTTAGTCTTATTCAAGGGTAGAATATTTTTTAAACAGTATATACCAGAATAGGCACTGGTTTGGTATTAAATTTTTCCTCATATGTGACTGTGAAACCGGATACATCTTAGATTTTATAATTTATACAGGAAAGTATACCGATCTTGATGATATAGAAGATGATCTTCTCAACAAAGTGGGAATATCTGGTAGAGTCGTCTTATCACTAATGAAACCTTTTCTTGGGAATGGTCATTCATTATTTCTGGACAACTGGTATGTAAGTCCTCACCTTTTTGTACATTTACACCAGCAAAAAACTAGCTCATGTGGGACTGTTAAAAAGAATAGGAAAGGAACGCCAGACCTTGAACGCGTTTTGGATCGCGGAGAAACGCAATTCAAGTCTTCAAACAAGCTTCTAACTTTGAAGTGGAAAGACAAGCGGGAGGTATTCTTGCTGACTACAATGCATAATAGCGAAGTTAGCGGTACTGGTAAAATTGATAAGGATACTGGGGAGGAAAAAAGAAACCTCATTGCATTCTGGACTATAATGAATACATGGGAGCTGTTGATCGCTCCGATATGATGCTTAGCAGTACCGAATGCGTTAGAAGAACAGTTAAATGGTACAAAAAGATATTTTTCCACTTATTGGATATTGCCATTTTTAACTCTCATGCCTTATATCAAACTGCAACGGGTAATAAAATTAGCCTGCCGGCTTTTCAAATGAAGGTCAGACCAAATTCTGGAAGAAGTACCATTCGCAAATTTATAGCCATCGAACTGGAAGATGTTCACAAGGCGATAATCCCCTGCGTTTGACAGCCCGCCATTTTCCTTCACAAGTCCCACCAACAGAGAAGAAAAGAGAAGCCCAAAAAAGATGTGTTGTTTGTGCTAAAACGGGGCACAGAAAAGACACACGTTATATGTGTACCGAATGCAATGTACCACTTTGTTAAATTAATTGTTTTGAACTTTACCATACAATTTTCAAAGTGTGTTTTTCTAATCACTTTAAAGTTTTTAATAAATAATACAGGATCGGCCTTCATTTTCGTTGAGTAAATGAACTAATTTACAAAAAAAAACGCGAAGATAAAACTTTTCCGTATAAGACTTTTCTATTACAAATATCGATAGGAGGCTGTAGTTTAATTTTTATAGATTATACACGCCACACCCTGTATATTAGATAATAAGCTAGGTTTGTTTTGAGATTCTTCTTCGACTCCTTACTCCCAGTTCCTAGCGGGCAGCCGACCAGAGCACACGTGTTTTGTGAAAGTGTAGTGCAAGGAGCAAATTCTACCTGCCTTTATTAAGGCTACCTGGAAAGAATCCCTTTCTTTCCTTTTAATCACCGACCTAATCCCCGGCTTAAGCATAGACGCCGTCGGCATCTTTGTTACAGCACCTGTGCCGGGGTTATGCCCAGGTAAGTTTTTACTTATTTATCAGTTATTTGCATTACTTTAGAATACATTTCTTTAAAATTGCGACCCCCGACAAACAATATACCAGACAGACAAATACACCAAAAGACACGTACGCCCCCGTGAGGGGGCATCCCCACACGACTAACAC